GGCGATTTCCCCGCTTCGGCGCCAGGCGCTTCCTTGCTATCCATTCCCTTGCCTCCTCCCTTGCCTCCTCCCTTGCCTCCTCCCTCTTCCTTGTTATTTTCATCCTCTCCTTCTTCGCCTCATCTCTACTTCTCCTTCTCCGCCCCTCCTCCTCCTCCTTCTCCTCGGCTTGGCCTTGGGGTCGGCGGGGTGCCAGAGAAGGCAGCATCATAACTCGGTCGCGGCTCTGGCGGTCGTCGGGGATCGGGCCCCCCCCCCGAGGGCAAGGGGGACTCAGAGGGGCGCAAGAGGGGGAGGAGTGGAGGAGGGCAGGATTGCGGGGGCAACTGAGGGTAGGGGCCATACGATGACGATCATAATGATAACGACGAGGATGATGATTGCAATGATCTAGCCCTCGTTGGTTCAAAATGAACCGTGCGTGGCAGGGGCGCGCCCAGCAGGAGCGCCAGGCTGGGTCGCAACTTTTACAACATTTGCTTACTTTATATGCGACATGTAAGTTAACCGCAACAGATTTCTCAATCGCCTGCTACTTCGCAAGTCTAGCAGGCGTCCAAGGTGGAGACTTCGCCAGATATGGAACTGCGCCAGATTCAAGCTCGGGCAATTTTCAGAAACATCTTGACGTGGCTATACCAGACCGCACTCCTTTGTTTATAGTTGACGTCCCTTTGATGTGCGGCAAGAGCGAGCATAGAACTATCGAGAGGCTCCCCATGAGCGCTTTTTGGCAAACATTGGAAGCTGAGCTAGAGCAGGACCCTACCACGATTAGCATTCTCGAGTTGCCGAGAGATCAGCGCCAGCCGAGTGTGCTGGACGTACCTGCATACACGGATCACCCAACGGTCCTGCAAGCTCGGAGGGACAACGTGATGGACCCGGTACCCATTGCTGTGTACGTAGATGGAGTTCGCTTTATTTCACAAGCGGCTGGCCGCTCCGAAACCGTGCTCGGCGTTTGGGGCATAAACCTCCTGAGCGGCAAGTGATGGGAGCGTTTTCCAACACCACCACCACCATAAGTTGGAGGGGGGAAGAAGGAGGACGAGGAGGAGGACGAAGAGGAGGAGGACGAAGAGGAGGGGGACGAAGAGGAGGAGGAGGAGGAGGAGGGCACCCTCCCCCTCCAACTTATGGTGGTGGTGGTGGAAAACAGGCCCATCAGCAAGCGCCACTTTCTGGCTCCGCTGAAGTCTGGCGATGTTTGTCAGTGTGGCTGCCGCGGCTGGTGCTCAACTCAACCTCTTCTTCAGGCTGTCCAGTGGCAGTTGGTCCACATGCAGCGGGGCCAACGCCCAGCCACATCGTACAGCGGTGAACCTTGGGGCGGGCAGACCTGGATGGACCCCGATAAACCTCTTTCGTATCGCATTGTTCTTTTATATATAAAAGGGGATTGGAGCGAACATTCCCACACCATGGGCCTGGCGTCGTGGGCTAGCAAATATTCACCGCGCCAGTGTTGCGCCCTCACGAAAGCAGAGGTCGGCGACCTGCACGAGAACATGCGGGCAGAGCCGCAGTGGTATCTCAGGTCGCACGAAGATTATTTTAACGCTTGTCGGGCTTGCGAGGTGAACGCTGCGATTCACACTCTAGCTCAGAGGGAGAGTTTCATCCGAGCGCTACGTCCAGCGAAGGCTAAAAAAGATATCGGGGGGCTCTGGGTCAGAGATGATGTCGCGATCCACGGAGTGAATTTGAAAAAGGGGGGCCGCCTTGAACCTAGCAGGGCGGTGCCTGACATTTTCGGTTTGTCTAAGTTGGCTGTCCCTTTTACTGCGGTTCTATGGCGTCCTCGGCGTGCAGATAGGGACAATAAGATAATAGACTGCTTGCACCACAGGTGCCCGCTGTTCTGCGAGGAACTCGGCACTTCCCCTCACCGCGCCCTCGCAGTGGACGCCCTGCACACGCTGTTTTTGGGACCAGTTATTCGTTTCATATCATGTGCGTTATGGAGAATACTCCTTATGAATCCGTGGCGGGTGAATGGGGACATAGACACCGTGCTGGAGCTGGGGATCCTGTGGCTCAGAGGCGACCTGGAAAAATGGCAGGAAGACCAGCGCGTCGACCTCAACCGCCGTGTCCACGGCCTCACACTTAAGATGATGGGCAAGCGCTGCGGCTGCACTCTCCAGGACTTATTTTTTCATTTTAGAGATGCATGAAGATGATCATAGTGATGGAGGGGGTGGGGGAGGAGAGATACTCGGAAATGGGAAGGGAGGGCCGGTGGACCAAAGAGAGAGGGATGAGTAGAGGGGAGGTTGTGATGGGGCGGGAAGCGGTCCCGAAATTGTCTGATCAACGTCTCCGAGTGTCGGTCTTGAGGGGCGAGAGGCGCAGTTTTTGTGGGTGGGATGGGGGATGAGCTAGGACTGAGAGATACCAAATGGGGGGGGCCAGGGGGAGGAGCAGGAGGAGGTGGAGGAGCGGGGCGCATACAGCAACAAAGCAGAGTAAGCATTTGCCCGCCCCTCCTGGTCGCACTCGCGGGTTCGTGGGACGTCCGCTGGGCCCGAATGCATGGGCGCTGGCAATCGTTGGAATGTTTGCGTGATTGCCCCCCCTCGCCGACCCGCCACTCCGCTGCTCCTGTCTACTCCGAGTCCCGCCGACCTCCCTTTCAGTCGTTGTCGAGTCGCACGCGCGCGCGTGCGCATTGCCCATTCAAAGCATGCTTCAGAACACTCAGCATCCGGGAGCACACATGAGTCTCAAAGCAGCTGAAGCATCTTCTTTGTTGGGATTTGCTATTTCAGAACTCAACAAATATGGTGGGGCAGCAGTCTTTGGCACCGCTCTGGTTGGGGCTGGTGGTTCCCTGAAGTCCATCATAGACCAGCTCAAAGCGGCCCCTGTCATCCCTTCCCCAGACGCAATGCGTAGCATTATGGCTTCATTGGATATGCATCTGCTCTCTACGGTGGCCTCGGGCATGGCCCTCACTCCCAAGCATCACCTCCTTGCCCACATGCTGCACAGGAGCGGGGGGGTCGGGACATGGCGGCAGCCTCTTACTCGTTTGCACGGCTGGGCTCGCATCGAAAATCTCGACCGCAACCTCCCCTCCATCCGGTTTCAAGCAGGCTCTCGCCCGCGCGGGGGGTGGCGGGAGGAGGGGGCCGTGGCAGACGAAAGCGGCCTGGGGGGCAGATGACTACCTACCAGACCACCCCAACCCAACCCGAAGACCCGAATTTCGGGTTGGGGGGGGTAAGGCTTCCACACGTGTTTTTTCGATGTTCCCCGACCCCCCCCCACTGGAAATCGAGGGTAAATCTGAGCCTTCGGGTTGGGTTGGGGTGGTTTGGTGGGTGGTGAAGAAGGGTGGCCATTAGCGGTTTCGTGTTACAGCCCCCGAGGATCCCGACCCATGGAACTCCTACACATTATCATTGTTTCCAAGACGAGTCGTTGAACGCATCGCTGAGAGATATCGCGCAGTATTGCCACCGTCTCAGCTTCCCCCGCATAATTTTCAGGCTTATCGACTTGAGGAGCAAACTAGTGACGGGAGATTTTGCGGCTAGCGGGTCATGGCTGCCGTTGGTCGCTGGCTACATGCTGCTTTGATTCTTACCTCGGGCTTCGGGTGCTTGGCAGTGGGCGTGAAGCTAGACCCATTAGAAGCTTGCTCGTCAGGGTATCAGTGGGCATCGTCAACGGCCGTCGCTCTTGGGAGGCGCGGTGCACCCTTGAATTTCGACAGTGGCACGAAGCCGTTTCTCGACACGATTGTGCATGCTATCTCCGAACGGGCACCGACAATTACTCGATCGGCTGCGTTCGTTGAGATATACTCGGGCACGGCGCGCTGCACGCGAGCTGTACGTAGTCTGGGTTACCGCGCCTTCTCATTTGATGTTCTGGACCGCGCTTGGCAGGACGCTCGATTTCTTAAGGGGTGCTTGTATGCAATGTGGCTTCTGGCTTCGATATGCGCAGGAGGAACGGCTTGGTTTGGCCCTCAATGCTCCACTTGGATACCAATGGCACGGGGGCGCACTAAACGTACGGATGAGGACCCATACGGCAACGACATCAGAAACGACGTCAGGGAAGCGAATTGGACCTGCTTGCTCGTGTAGGCAGGGCGCAAAACAACACCAACCCAATGTCGGAGGATGGTGAGGAGGATGGCCAGGAGGAGGAAGAGGGGAAGGAGGGCGGCCAAGGCCAAACCATATTGGAACGCTCACCTGAGGTAGGCCACTGCGGAGGAAGGAGTGGCATGGAGGAAGGAAGAAAGAACTGTCTGCTGACTCCTCCTCGTCTTCCTTGTCCTCCCCATCCTCCTGCCCCTCCGTTTCCTGCATCCCCCTCATCGTCCCTCTCGTCTTCCACTACCCTCTCTCCCTCCTCCTCCTCCTCCTCCTCCTCCTCCTCCTCCTCCTCCTCCTCCTCCTCCTCCTCCCTCTCCATCTCCTCCTCCTCCTTCCCCTTCTCCTCCTCCCACCATTATTTTATCCACGGCGTTAGGCCCGAGCGCGATGGGGCAGAATCAAGGTTTGCTCGAGATGCCCCGACCCGGTGGGGACTCCAGGCGGCCCCCCCCCGATCCGGACATGTGGCGCGTCCAGCTACGCCCTGATAGGTGGATCTGGACCGACTGTTCACTGAACGTGCACCTGCTCTGTGCTCTTGCCTCGGGCATGACCCCCACTCCCAAGCATCGCTTCATTTTGCATATGCTGCACGGGGGGCCGCAACGGCCCCCCTCGTGGGCTCCTGCAGCTCAACAGTGGCCCACCTCTCCTCCAGAGGAAATGGATCCGGCTCGCCCCTGCGTGGCCTGCATCGTGCGTGGTTCCTCTCGGGGCAAACTATTCAACTTCGCCTCCTCTCCCTCCCGCTCCCCTCGGTTGCCCATGCCTCTACCTCTCCCTCTCTCGCTCCCTCGCTCCCCCTCTCGCCCTGAGGAGGGGAGGAGGGGGAGGAGGAGGAGGAGGAGGAGGAGGAGAGCGCCTCCCCTGCCCAGGTCGATGATGGTGACGTTTTGCCACATGCGGGGCGTCCGCGTGGTCGTCGAGCAGCCCTTGAACTCGACTATCTACCGCACGGCCGAGCTCTCCGAGGCCCTGCTGATGGCCTGCGCGAAGCGCATCATCACGAACCTCGGAGCCTTCGGCGCGATCAGCGTGAAGCCGATCGAGATCTGGACTACGCTGAGTCCTCATGCTTTGCTTCCCCTTGTTCGCCGCAGGACGCAGGCCTTCAAACGGCTCGGCACCTATTCAGAGCTCTGCCCCGCTAAACGAGTCAAGAAGACTCAGGGCTCCAAGCCGAAGAAATACGGCTGGTCCAAAAAGGGGTGGGTCTCGGGTACGTACAATAGCCGCCAGAAGCAATCGTCTCAATACCCCCTAGAATTTGCGCGCGTGGCAGCGCGTGTGGTGGTCAAGGGGCTGCCAATTGAGTCGAGTTCTGATACTCGCTTGCCCGTGCCGCGTGGTTGAGCTCAGGCCGCCCCACGCTACGGAATAATTAGATGATAGGGGCGAGGTGGAGGACAGGGAGGAGGGGAGGGAAGGATGGGGAGGGATGGAGGCGAGGGAAGGAGGGGTGGGATGGAGGGGGGGGAAGGAGAGGGGGGGGCATCTCGGAGGAAAGGAGGGGGGAGGATCTGGCACCCTGCACTCATGCATGCCCCCTGGGCCCCTGGCCCACCTGGCGACGTGGGTAACCATGGCGCCCTGGATGCTCGAGCCTGCGCGCCGCAGGTGACGTTCCCTGGAGATCGAGCTGTAAAAACCTGTACGGTCGATATCTCGGACCTGGATCGCGCCCGACACTCGTTGGGGGTCGGGCCCGACGCAAATCCGACGTGGCGTCTGAAAACCCAATGCATATTCCAATGCATTGAAGTTTGCGTTGGATTTTGGCGGGCCCGACCCCCGACGAGTGCCAGCGTGGCGTTCCAAGTCTGATCCGGCGGCGTTTGGTTTCGAGAGGGGCCCCTTCCTATGTGCCCACGCATCGGTCGCATCGGTCCAGGTCTAATCCGAACAAGCTTTTTTTGGGGGTGACGATTTTCCAGCCTCGGCGGATCTTGCATTTGATGTTGGATTTGATTTCGGCTTCGGGGAAATGCGAAAGGGCATCGATAAGAAAGGTGGCCAGGGGGAGAGGGGGCGGCCGTCTTATAGCTATTCGTCTGCTCGAGAGCTAAGTGATTCTGGCAAGCGAGGCGGTCATGGACGGCCGCGATCGTTCTAGGTCTCGGTCTGCCACGAGGACCAACCCGAAAGGCGACAGCTCGGGCCAACGGAAGGGCACGGTTTCAGGCGAGGACCAGGGGAAGGGGTGCACCAAGGGCTCGGGCGTGGACCTGGGCTCGGTTTCAGGCGAGGACCAGGGCAAGGGGTGCACCAAGGGCTCGGGCGTGGACCTGGGCAAGGACCTGGGCTCGGAGAAGGGCGAGAACAAGGGCTCAGAGAAGGGCTTGGAGAGGGGGAAGGGCTCGGACGACGTTGTTGGAACCTTGCCCCCTCCGACTCCGACCGACGACTCGGGCAAGGGCAGCAACCAGGCCTCGGGCAAGGGCCAGCAGAAGGGCAACGCGGCGCTGGACAAGGACGCGGGCAAGGGGAACAAGGGCGGCAAGGGCGGCAAGGCCCCTCGCAGGGGCCCGGGCTCGGATCCGGCGATGACTTTGCAGTGCAGCGTGCAAGCGATCCTCGACAACTGCAGCAGAGCCCAGGCTGAAATGATTCAGGCTTGGAGGGATGGGAGGGGGAATGGAAGAGGAAGAGCGGAGGGGGAGGGGGAGGAAGATGAGGACGAGGAGGATGCAAAATCCAATGCAAAATCAAATGCATTGGATTTTGCATTGGATTTTGGATCGTCGGTCGATCAAGAGGCCACCAACATGCTCCGCAAAAGCATCACAGACTACAACACCATGAATGCGGAGGTCACGTCCCTGAGGGCACGCACAACCACCCTGGAGCTGCAGCTGTGGATGATGATGAAGTCATTCTACAATCGAGATGTTCTCAACATTGCGCAGGACCCCCCCGTCGACGCGCGCGACGTGGCTCGCAACGCTTGCAACTCGTCGCCCCCGATCCTCGAATACACGCGCATGCACGCGGACTTGCAGGAGAAAACTGAGCCTCCATCGCATGCAATTGATGATGGTTCCGACTATGCTCCTTCGACTTTCACGTTGCCCTCGGAGGACCCCATAGGGGTCCTCAAGGGCAGGGGCGACGGGGGGGAAACGAAAAGCAAGGGGGGGAATCAAGCGCGCCCCCTCCCCGCGCTCGGAAGAGGAGTGGCACGGGGGAGGAGGAGGAGGAGGAGGAGGAGGAGGCAGAGGAGGAGAGAGGATGGAAGAGAGAGAGAGAGAGAGAGAGAGAGAGAGGAGTTGGAAGCGGAGGGGATGGAGGAGGTGGAGGACGGGGGGAGGATGAGGGGGAAGAGAAAGAGGAGGGGGAGGACGAGGGGGAGAAGAAGGAGGAACACGAGGCGATGGGGGCAGGAGGAGTAGGATGGGGGAGGGGCACTACGGATGATGAGCAGGAGGGCGGTGAAGGGAGGAGGAGGAGGAGGAGGAAGATGAAGAGGACGAGGAGGAGGGAGATAACCAACCCCAGAGGACGACGCCTCGAACCCGATGACGCTCGAGGAGGCGCGGACGACGTGGGTGCCCGCAGGCGGGCCACGGGTCGCTCAGGCAGCGGCCGACTCCTTGGCCGCGGCTGCGGCCGCGTCGGCCGACGGCCCAGCCGCCCTCGCCCCCCAGACGCCCCCGAGCTGAGGGGCAGACCCCTAACTCTTCCTCCCCTGCCATCTCTCCTCTTCCCCCTCCTCCTCCTCCTTCTCCTCCTCGCTCTCCTCCTCCTCCTCCTCTTCCTTTTCCCCCTCCCCTCGCTCCCCCCTCCCTCCTCCCCTCTTCCTCCTCCACCCCTCCCCCTCTTCTTCTTCTTCTTCTCCTCCTCCTCCTCCTCCTCCTCCTCCTCCTCCTCCGCCCACGCTGGTGCTTGCAGCTCGACTCCGCAGACCGCCCGCTCGCGCGGGGCTCTGGACTGCCGAACTCCTCCTCCTCCCCCTCCTCGCCCAGGAATATATACGGGCTAACGCCGCAGATCCGCCGCCCCGACGCCGAAGATCCGCGTGAGGTGTGTGCCGAAATTAGTTGTGCCCCTCGGCCTCCCTCCTATGGACCCGGTGGGGCTCAGGGTGTCTGGGGGCACGCCGCGGCCCCGAGGAGGCCGACGGGGTGCTTTGACAGGGGCCCGCTGGCCCTGGCGGTTCGCCGGGTTCCGCGGGGCCTTGCAAGGGGGGGCCAGGGCCCGAGCTTGCCGCATTCACCAGGCTGACGCCGAATCCGCCGATTCGACGCCGCGACACCGCGACAACGCACGGGCTCAACCACATTCGTCAGGCTGACGCCGCATCCGCCCACCCGGCGCCGCGACAACGCGACGCCATGACGCCGCGACCACGCGGCGGCAGCCGCGCTCGCCAGGCTGACGCCGCAACGCGACGCCGAGTCACCGCGACGCCGCGACGCCGTCCGCTGACTCGACGCCGCGACGCCGTGTCAACGCGACACCGCGACACCGCGACGCCGCGACAACGCGACGCCGCGACACCGCGACGACCGCGACGCCGCGAACGACGGCGCAACCACACTCGCCAGGCTGACGCCTCATCCGCCGACCCGACGCCGCGACAACGTAACGCCGCGACGCCGCGACAACACGACTGCACAACCGCGTTCGCCAGGCTGACGCCGCATCCGCCGACCTGGCGCCGCGACAACGCGATAGCGCATGGCCGCAGCGCTAAATCGGTGCCCCATGGCAACGCGACGCCGAGTCACCGCGACGCTGCATGCAACAATGGCGCAACGCAACGCGATGCGCATCGCGACGGCACGAAATCGCTGATTCGGAGCATAACATGTATATCTAGAGCAAGTTAACTCTATAAAATAGAATTGGAAATTTCAACTCTATTTTATAGAGTTCTGGATCCTCAGGGACTGCGTCCCCGCGCGTGACGAGGACTTCGATGGCTATCGGCTCCCTGTGGACGACAAGCTGGAGCCCCGCCAACGGCCCGCCACCCACATGGCGACCTGGTTCAAGAGGGCCCGGTGCGAGATCCAGATGTTCGAGTCCATCATAGGGGTCGCACACGGGGCGGAGCGTCGGCGGTCGTTAGGGTTCTTGGAGGCGGCCTTCGAGAGGGACCCATCGGAGTTCCCAGACCATTGGGTCAAGGATCTGTGGGAAGAGCTCCGAAGCACCTGGGTCGAGGAGTTGCGGGAGCTGAGGCGCCGGCTCTGTCGAGAGCTCGACGCCGAGAACCCGAGGAGGGAGGACATCAAGTACATCCTACTCATGCCGGAGAACGGCTACGATTTGCCCCGAACGTTCGACCTCGGGGACCCGAACGCCTACTACCAGCAGGTGGTCGCGCCCCGGCGCAAGGCCGCACTCGCGCGCCTCCTCAATGGGCAGCTGAACGCCCACCTCACGAAGCGACCGCCCAAAGCGGGAGGGAGCGAGGAAATGGGCGATCCCCGGCCCACGGCGCAGGGGGATGACAGGCCCAAGGCGGGGGCTGGGCCCCAGCCGAAGGCGGGGCCCAAGGCGGGCACCGGGGCCCCAGCGGGGACAGCCCCCAAGAGGGCGTACCCAGCGGGCAAGGAACTAACACGCCCGGAGCGGACGCGATCCGTGGCGCATGCGCCCCGCAATAAAGACAACGTCCCTATCTGCTGGGGGGCCACCACGCACATGGGCTGCTCGCGGAAGGCTTGCGATTGCCCTAACTCCCATGACCCCATCAAGTCAACGCGCGGATTGGACTACTCGGTAGTCATGCAGCTCACGAGGCGCGGGGGGCTCCTTGGGACGCCCCGGATCGATCCCAAGCAGGTGGATGGGATGATTGCGCAGCTGCGCTCGCAAGCCAAGGCAGCCGAGGCCGAGAAGGTTGGCGAGGACACTTCCCCACCTGCTCCCCCTGACTCCCAGAAGGAAAAGGGCCGGGGCCGTGGCAGCGGCTCGCGAGCAGCGGGCGACCCGGGCCCGGGGCAGGCCCCGGACGACTACACCGCGCTCCAGCTTACCGCGATGGAATCCGACCTCCGGGAAGCGGTTAAGGGCCCCGACTTCGGATGGCTCGAAGACCACGACCACCCGCGCGCGGCGGCCACTTGGGACGCCCAGCCCGCGGGTGATGGGCCGGAGCTTCGCCTCAAACTCATGCAGGAGCTCGAAGCCGAGGGCATCTTCGCACCTCTGAAGGGGGCCAGCGAGTACTTGCAGAGCCACGTGCGCGGGCGCGTCTTGGGGGCGCGCCTGCGCGGGGAGCGGCTTACTCTGGAGCGAGCCCTCGAGGAAGCCGTGGACCGAGGCCATCGGGGTCTCAGCAGCGAGGCAGCCGACCTGCATGAGGCGCTTAGCTGCGCCGCAGGATACGTCACCGAGGGCGGGGCCGAGGTTGGCCCGGTTGCGTGGGACCCCGGCGGGCTGATAGGCCGCGGGTCCTATACCTTCTGGGACGGGGACACCCGCATCCAGTGGGACTTCATCGACTATCGGGACCGCCTCGGCCCTACAGAGGAGATGGGCCAGGCGATGGGCCTGGAGGTGGGCGACACCGAGGAGCGGCAGTGCCTGCTACTGCACGTAGCTGCGGGGGTGCTCCTGCTACGCGCGGGCGAGGGCACAGGTGAGCCCAGCCCGGACGCGGTGCAGCAGTTGGCCGCGACGTATCGCCATGCACTATGGGAGGAGGCCCATGAGGCCCTGCGTGCCCTGGGCGACTCCCCGCCGTGGATCACGGCCCTGGAGGCCGATGTCCGCTCCTACGTCCACGATGCGGTGCACCCGCACCACGACAAGGACTATCGCTGCCTGGCAGCATGCCCTGTCGCCGACCTCGACGCCGTCACGCTCCAGGTGCACCGTGTCAACGGCAGTGGGCGCCTATGCGTGGACCACCTAATGGGAACGGGCGTCGGCGCGGAGGATCACGTAATTTCGCTCCTGATCTGGCGTGGCCATATGCGCGCCTTGCGCCCACGCTCCCACGCGGAGGCGGCGGCCCTAGGCCAGCGCTGGGGGCACGCAGGACGCCTGTCCCGCGAGATCGTAAGTGTCGGCTGGCGCGAGATGCTCGATGAAGGCCCGGACGTTGAACCCACCGTCCCGGGCAAGAGCGCGCCCTGCACCCACTGCAAGGCAGCGGAAGGTCGGGCGGGCCGCGCAGTGGGACGCGCGCCGGCCTCGTTCGGGGAACATCCAGCCGACGTCCAGGCACGCCTCCTGGAGGCGAACGCGATGCCACTTCGACACGACCCCGCGTTCGCGTACGGTTTGATCGCCCAGGAGGTGTACGCCGGTTCGGGAAATTGGTCGGCCGCGCTTCGCGCCGAGGGCATCCGGGTGCTGGAACCGATCGAATATTACGACGACCCCCTCCGAGAATCCGGCCCACGGCCGGATCATGACACCCTCGACCCAGCGGTCCGCGCGCGCCTACAGGAGGCCGCACGGACCCCCATGGGCCCCGACGTGGCCAACGTTTGGTGCTGGGGTACCCCGTGTGGCTCGTGCACCGACCTCGGGCTCATGACCCAGCCGGGCGGGACCCCGCAGGGCACCCGCACGTGGGAGCACCCCGAGGGGGATGGCTCCAAAGAGTTCGAGCGCGTGGGTAACAGCCACACACAGTTCACGTGCGACACCTGCCGCATCCTACACGACGCTGGCAAGGAGTTTCTCATCGAGTCCTCCTGCCCCTCGGGCCGCTACCCCAAGATTTGGGACCAGGCCCCGATGCACGAGCTGCGTCGAGCGACGGGGGCCATGATCGTCCCGATCCACATGTGCGCCTGGGGTAAGGCCCCGTCCGACGCGCCAGAGAGCCGCTATCGCAAGGGCAGCTGGTGGCTCGTCAGCCCCCGGCTGTATCTGCACGCTCTGTTGTTGGCGCGACGTTGCCCCCGTGACCACCACCACGTCGAGCTGAAGGATCACGTGCCGGGCTCGGGCATTAAGCGCACCAAGGAGGCGCAGGTTTGGGCCCCCCGCCTTTGCGCCGCGTGGGCAAAGGTGTTGAAAGGGGCCTATCACCGCT